CCACCTCACCTCAACTATAAATTTTGGTTTTAAAAAGGTGAAATAGGCATGTTGAGCTTTCGAGTCTGAGGTGTTGCAAGGATAGAAGGACAAGTCTTCCAATATGAATGGTGGAAGAGCGACAGGAATAGCACTTAGCGGTGCAATGTATGGGGTTTTATGTTTTTCGGGGCCATGTAAACACACAAACGCGGACAGAAGAAGGCTTCGTGCGTGAATAACTGATAATGGGACAGTTTCCACGAAATAAAAATGAAGATATATTACTCGATACTAAACTCTAGGGTCCTCTGGCGTATCGGAATTATTGAATTAAAGCCGGAATAACCAGTGATACTGGTTTTCTATTTCGCCGGCTATTCGGCTTTGTGAGCTTAGCAACATCACATGGCAAAAGAAATTAAGTTAATTTCTGACTTTGTGACAAGCAGTGAGCAACCGAAGGCCAATTGTTGCCAGTTCCGTGCATCATCGATACTTGTCCATTGAAAACCTGCACCAAACTGTAAGTGTGAAGACTAATTCACTGAGACTAATTTGCGCTCAAAAATGCTATTGTGAGCCCCGACTTTTCCCGATGCACTTGATGAGAAACAATGAGAATGACTTTCAAACTTTAAGGCAAATTTATTCGTTAACATATCCAACTGACATTTTATAAGAAAGTAGGAATGCCAGGAGCTATTTATCTAACGTTCTTATGAGCTTCTATTAATTTGAGTAATTTCGATTCATTTCTTGCAAATTAATCCTTTAAAGTCTTCCGATATATGAAGTTTAGTTAATTCCAGGAACATTTCTGTTCCCCACATGTCAACGCTAGTTAACTAACTTCATACTACAAGGTGGGTAGACTATCATGCAAAACGAGAAAAATATCTTGCGATACTGAAAGGTTATCGGCTGTAATTTACAACCGATTCAAATGCTGAGGGAGGAGGGGCGGGGGGTGACAGCCGTTTAAATAGCAAATATCCCATTTGGTATTCCGCTCAGTGTTAAACGAGCGACAAACATCTATTGATATCTCTGTATCTCTGTCCCTTTTTATCCAGTTTAACGGCGTAAATACTTAAAAAAAATATCATCGATGCGTTGTCCTTGGTTCCGCACGTATACAATCGACGTTTATCACGTTTATTATCGTTTATTATTATTATTTTCACGACGAAGCAGATGAAAATAAAGAGCCTGAAATATTCCATCAGAAACTGCAAGACTTAGCGGCAAGGTTTTCAAAGTCCTTGGCAAAGACGAAGTTTTCCGCATGGCATACATTGTTACAATGTTGAATATGATAGCGGTATAATTTAAAATTTTTTTTAAGACTCAGTTAACAATGAAAGTTATGCAAAGCTCTATCAAGTCAGAATGGGCCGGACGAGACTGCAGAAGGCCGGCACACGTGAAAGATG